ATAAAATACTTTATCTTACATACTATGTTAGAAAACAAGGGATCTTTATAAATATCTACCTACAGAAACCATCTATAATAAAATAATAATTGCCCTGCAGGAAACACATATGAGTAACGATATAAAATCATTTTTTAGAGATTTTATATTGCTAAATTCTGGTACGACTATAAACAATTGGTCAGGTACTATCTTTTTAATCAAGAATAAATTTACCAATTTGTTTATATAAGAAAGAATGCCTGCCCTATATATTAATACAGCCTTTAAACCAACAATTCTCTTAAATATATATGCCCCCCAACTCTAAAAGAAAGAATGCTTTTTTTTGATGGGAAATGTCATTGATACATTATCCAAAAGGTACAATTTGATAATTTTAATAATAAAATTGGAAAAGACGAAATTTATTTAAATATAATATTATTGGTATAATGCTACTGGTCTCTCCCAAACAGTCCAGATAGTTATTCTTTGCTAGAATTATGTAGAAAAAAACCTGAAGGTTGAAAATATTCTTTTTCATAATGAATATCAACTTATTTTTACCTTTTACAGAAATAACTACTATTCACAGATTGATTTTATATTGTCTAATATTCATAGTTGGTTTTATGACGTAAAAGTAATGGAGAAATAAAAATACAAGTTGTGCTGTTATTGAAAAATTGCCTAGACTCAACTTTAAATATAATTTTAATGACTTAAAACTCCCCCTGGTCAAGGATGTAGTCTCAACTAGGCTATGTTGGATATCAATCAATTCATGCTTACAAATCGTAACTCAACTTTGGAAGATTGTTGGAGTGACTTTAAACATATATTATTATCTATGTGTAAAGACTATACAAAAGTCTGAGGCCCTCCCATGAAAAAATTGATATCCCCGATTATGGAATCCAAAATATTAGAACTAAGAGTAAGGAGTCATCAAAATAAAGATTTATGGAAAATTATCTAAAAGGTTCATAACGACAGATAGACGAAAGTATATAGCTGATAAGGCTAAAAAGATTGATGCAGATATAAAATATAATAGACTCTATAATGTATATAAAAAACCATAGATGTTTGTAAACCTTCAAAATTCTACCTAGACTTAAAATAGACAATAATATTATTCGCGACCCAGAGAGCAGATGAAATTATGGCTGAACCATTATTCGACAATATTTAACTCCAACACCCAGTGCCAATTATAAGAAACGACCAAGTCTCCTCAAACTCAAATTTTACTACATTGGAGATAAAGAAGGTAATAATCAAGTTAAGGAATAATAAAGTTGCTGGACTAGATAGTAAGAGCTGAACATTTAGAATCTCTCCTGACTATATTTCAACTTTTTTATTAATTGTTTTTAATAAAATTTGGACTTCAGGTGTCACTCCGAAAGATTGGAACTTATCTTTATCTGTAATTTCCCAAAAATTTCAAATCCATTTGCTTTCGATGACTTCAGAGCTATTGCGTTTACATCCATAGCATCAAACGTTTTCATGGTATTAATAAAAAACTGAATACTGGATTCTACTAAACATTTACTATCTAACAATATGTGCATATAGACCTGACAGCAGGGTTGGGCAAATTTTCAGAAAATTGTATTCAGATATAGATATTTTATAAATTTTTGTCAAGATATTATACTTTCAATAAGATACAAGACTTGTATCTTTTAAAAAAACTATCTAAGATACAAGATACTTTTTTAAAAATACTTTAAATAGTCAAAATCAAAATGAAAGCTTTATTTTCTTATCTATAATATAAATTTATAAATAATTTGAAAATAAATTATCGAAAATAACAAATTTATTATATAGGATAATGCGATATTTTTTTTAATAATACTATAATTAGTAAATATTAATTCATCAGCATTGTTTTTTAATATTATTAATTTTTCAAGTAATTTATCGTTCAATCTTTGACGATTTGGTCTGTTAACCATATTAGCAAAGCTAAATAATCGTTCAATGAGGGCAGAGGAGGGTAATATTGTGTTATATTTAAATATTTCTTTTTTAATTTTATAAAGAAGATTATATTTTAAGTATATATGTAAAAATTAAAAAAAATACATATGAAAGGTGGATTTAATATTGCTAAGTACCATCTATCATATAAAAATGGTTACCAAATATTTGGATTATATTTTGGCCTAGTATTCAAATTAACAACCTCTTTTTTTTCAATATTAGTTTTCTTATTCTGTTCATAGATTTTTTATATATCATTTTAATTTTATTATCAATCAATAATATAAAAATTTATTTTAAAATACTTCTAAATTTAGCAACAGATATATGTGGAATATGAATTGATAATGAATATATTATACTTTTAGATGCTTGACAAAATTTGATGACGAGTCCGCAGAACCACTTATAGATTTGTGGCATTCTTTAGATTCTGTAATAATTTTATTATGATCATGTTGAAGTACTTGTGAAACTTGACAAAATTTCTCATTTAAAATACTTAGTTTAAATTTATATTTTTCGGTTGGAGAATCATCTGAAGACGAAGATAAACATATTATTTTATTTTCTTTAATAGACGGATATAAAACGATTTAAATAAAATATGGTAGTTCTAATTGTTAGCAAATTGCTATATGACGACCAATGTAGTATATCATACATTATCTTAAAATATCTAAATTCTGATTAAATTTTTCATTTAAATTTTAAAACAATATCATTTTAAATTTTAATACTATTTAAATTAACTAATATAAATTTTTTTAAAGTATCTGTATCTTTTTGAATACAAAGTTGGTTAAGATACAAATACTTTTAAATAATATGTATCTTAGATACTGGATACAAGATACTTTCCAAAATTTAAAAAAGGATATACAAAAGTATCTTGTATCTTAGATACAAATATCCGCGATACTGCCCAACCCTGCCTGACAGAAACATTCTACAGCCAATTTTGGCATTAAAAATTATCTTACAGAAAAGCTACAGGCATAAATTACCTCTACTCTTTATCTTCAGGGATTTTGGGAAGGCTTTTGATAGTATTAAACAAGAAGTATTATGTAAAATTCTTACTATGGCTTAGACTCAAATATTATAAAAATTCTTATTAATCACTACGGCTCTCGTCTACTTTCAAAGCGAACAACGTTCAATCTCCGTCTTTTATGGTACGTAAAGGCGTTAAGCAGAGTGCATCTTGTCGCCGATTCTATTTAATATAATTATGAATACAATTATTGCAGATACACTTAGGGTTTTCAATCTACTAGGCTTATCCTCTCGTGATGACCTCTACTTGAAGCATCACATAATATCCATGCAGATGACAGTAATCATTACTAAGTCCATGGAAGAAACCTCAAACATATTGGATATATTGAAATCATATAGTGGGGAAATTGGGCTTACCATAAACCTAAATAAAACAGTTATTATGCCTTCTCCAAGAGCATTAATAGATTCTAATCGTACCATGGAATTGTTAGGAATAAGATCGGTAAATGAATTCAAATACCTCGGAGTAATCTAGACAATAAAGGTCATATAAAAAATGAGGTATTGAAATGAGACTAAGCATGCGAAATTTTTGTTTTATAAATATTTCAAATATCGGTGAAAAGTAGACTTTAAATGTTTAATTCAATAATCATTACCATTCTTCTGTACGGAAGTGATACTTGGGACATTAACAAAACACAAATTAAAAAACTTCAGGTTTTTGTTAATAGATGTCTGAGACATATAAATGGCTACATGTATCTTAGAGTCATATATACCGATGGTTTATGGAGACTATCAAAGCATGCCACAGTATCACTTAGGAAAAGAAGAATTCAGTTGTATGCACATTTAATGAGCAATTCTGAAAATAACCTGGCTTATGAAGCCCTTAGCTGGTTTCCGGTAAATAAGAACAAAAGATATTGTAATTACAAAACTTATTGGCTGAACAAAACTATAATGGACATCATAAATATGAATAACAAATAACAACAAAAACTATAAATAAATTATTTAAAATAAAAACCAATTTCCTCATAAATCATTGGTTTTCCTTACGTAAATATTTATTCTTTTGGAGTTTGAGTTATATTCATTATTCCTCTTCTATTACTTTTCATTCTTTCAACCGGAGTTTACTACACCTTTCCCCAGTATTTGCTCCACTTAACCAGTTTCGGGTTATATTATTCCAATAAATACCTAGAGCTCGGCATTTTGGCCTGTATATGTAAACTATGGTCTTTTTATTATAACAAATGTTAAATTTCCTATTATAAGTACAAAACTTTATTTGATGATTTAACTTTTCATATTCATGGCCGAGTCATATATATTCTTGCAGCCAGTCTTAAACACACTTGATTTGTATTTATTACCCATATTTCCTCCTCTTCCCTTTATTTCTTTTAATTATACTATTTATATATTCTACCACACTTATTACAGACCTATCTTGATTATATTTATATTAAATTTAATTTTTGCGAGGAGGTTCTGTTTTTTCCGGTATGATGGTTATTATATTAAATATCGAATGGGATTATCTTCAAAGTTGGATATAAAGAAATAGTATTATTGACAAGTGATTGTACTGTATTTATACTGGTATTTTTATTTTATTTAATCATATGTTTATTTATAGGTTCTCATAATGTTAATTAAAAGTAAAATTAACATAGCCAATATAACCTATCCATAATCAAATTTTTTATTTAATCGGGCATAGGCTTTTTACCTCTCCTCTTATTTCCCAAACATGTTTAAATAAGTGGCTTTCCCTCTTGCGCGAACAGGTAACTGCGGCCTGTCAAAAAAACGCGGATAGTCCTCTTATTATTTTACAACTTTTATCCCGGTTTGATGAACTTTTCATGAGAGAACCAAGCATTATTCTGTTGTATATATATAACTCTGTTATATATATATGACGTTACTTATTATATAATTTAAATAACCTAATGATCACATCTATTTAATTTTTTAATCACCATGTTATAATAAATTAGCTAATACCACCAAGTTTAGAGATAGTCTTCAAACGGTTATGGCTCATAATAGGAAACAAAAATAAACTGATTACCAACAATGAACTCGAGACGAATAATTTGACTAATAACAAAAATGGTTTAGATGATGAAAGTGAAAAAGATGATAAAATTTCTGAAGAATGCAAAATGATGAATTTACAAATCGTTATCGCCTGTTTCTTCATCAATCCTCAACTTACGCTTAATAAGTTGACCATTTTGGAAAAAGAGTTTCGTGAAAATGACTCTCGCAATGCGAATAATATTAATTTTGGTCCTATATCTTTTATCGATAAATTCGTGGACGTTTGGATGCAAAATATTGAATACTTTTTAGGGTATATTCTAAAGCTTTTTTAAATATATTATTACTAACTCATTTCTGTAAAATCATTTTAAAAAATTGAATTCGAGGCCTTTAAATTTATTTGTCTTTAATAATAATAAATCATGTATTGTGAGTAGTGTTGTTAAATAGTTATTTTGGTCGAATTATCAGGATTTTTGGTTAAAAAAATGAACCAGACCCAATCCAACCAAATGGATCGATTTTGTCGACAAAATCTATCGTCCTGAGCACCTACCAAATCTATCTCTGAGCCCAACCCAACCAAATGGGTTGATCACGTCGACAAAATCTATCGACAAGAGCTCCGACCCAATACCAGAATAATATTTTATTGTTTATTTTTTGTTCATTCATATTTTTATACAATATTTTAAATAAAAAGAGTTGAAATTGAATTTTCTTATTGTAAGGCTTGGTGTTGTTCAACTCCGATTCAGAGTTTATAGTTAATTTACTTGCTAAGTTCAGAATTTGAGTTATGAACTAGAGGACAAGTAGTTCAATATTATCATCGAAATAATTGTTTTGTATTAATTAATTAGAATCCTTTCATACCAATTGTTCTCTTCATAATTTGCAAATATTATATATTTTTTATTTTACACTACCAACTCGAGTCATAATTGTTAACCCAAGTTATGAACTCGAGATTTTGAATCCAGATGGACTCGGACTTCGGCAAAAGAATTACATTTTAGCAAAATTAATAATTTAGAAAAGTAACTACGGAAATGTTTATTATCCTTCAATGTTTATAAAATTTCCGATTTCATTAAAATATTGTACCTTTTAAAACTCCAATAAATTTTTTTTGGATCAAATATTTAAAAAAAACATTTTTGGTCATTGCGAATTGAATATAAATTTAAAAGGTAATTTTTTTTATAAAAACATAAATTTATTAGGGCCATTTCAAACACAACGTTTTTTTAATCCATGCGATTTTGCGTTTTTTTAATATCAAACTAATTTGATATTTTTAAACGATTGAATGAAAGTGAAAATATTGGTTTTAAATATTATATTATGCAATAATTTTAAACCAGATGAGACATACTTGCTCAAATAAAGTATTAGATGAATTGTGAATTTTACATGCTAAAAGGTTTTAAGAATATAGAACATTGGTTAATAAAATTATTAACTTTATTGCAATAAATTTTTCCTGGTATAAATTTTATTTCAACAAAAATATAAAAATAATTCTTTCTTTTCATTGATTTAATTTACAAAATTAAACTCTCCATAAAAAAATATCCATTAACTTCGAACCATTGAATTTAATATTAGATTATGACATGTTTCTCCTAAAAAATACAAATCACACGGGGTCTTAAAAAGATTAAGATGCATAATTTAATTACAATATATTCGGCAAAGATTTGTGATGTTTTTTCTTTAATGTTCTTTAGGTGTTCCGCATTCAGTCTTTGTCTTCTAATCACCGCAGGCGTGTACGCAGTGGGGGGAGGGGGCAGGAGGACAAATCCCCGGGGGAACAGGGGGACAAATCCCCCCTTCCCCAGCCAAAAAATGCAGATGCCGGATATATTTTTCAAAAATATTATTGTTTATATTAATTTATATATGTTAAAATTTATTCCTATCTCATATTAAATATATACTTAATTACATTTATTTATCACATTCATCTAATAAGTTATTTTATCAATTAATTTCGATTTCAAGTTTTCCTTGGCGTAATATTTACTTATTATTTTCAAATTTTTAGTGGCGTAATATTTATCTACCATTTTCAATTTCTAGTCAAATAATAATTATTTCTGAAATTGTCCAACAGGGAGAAAGAAATTGCAACCTTGTCCAACGAGATAGAGTCTCCACCATCATGAAGTAACAGCTTTTATGGATAGAAGGTATATCTTAGATACAGATACATTTATAACCCAAATAATTTAATGGTTTTTAATTCATCATGCAGCACTTACCAATCTGCAAATATTACTTCCACAAGCCTTCCCAACCTTTTTCAGATGATGATAGAAAAAAAAATATTTGTTAGATTTTTATCATGAAGATGTTAAAGTATCTTATGATGCCTTATTAGCTGAATAACTATGTTTATAAGATCAACTATGGTTGATATAGTTCCAAAAAATGCTATGGATGCTCTGCATTATTTCAAACAATTATTGTATTTAAAGGGCTTATATATATTAGTAACTCTTCCCAGTAAACTAATGAGAGAACATTCTCTTTTTTAAGAAGAATAACAAAGCCCTGCAGAGGTACCATTTGCAGGGCAAGGCCCGGGTTTTTTAAAAAAATTTTCAGGCCCGGCCCAGCTTTTTTTTAAAAAAAAATTCAGCCCCAGCCCGGGTTTTTAAATTTTCAGACCCGGCCTGGCTTTTTTTAAAAAAAATTTCGGCCCGGCCCGGCTTTTTTTAAAATAAAATTTTCAGGCCCGGCCCAGATTTTTAAAATATATTATATTTATTTTTGATTTTTATAGCTAATAATAACTATTTCATATAGGCTGTTTTAAAATATAGAGCCGGCCTGGGTGTTTTTTAAAAAAATTTTAGCCCAGCCCAGGTGTTTTTTTAAAAAAATTTCAGACCTGGCCCGGGCATATTTAAATAAATTAAAATACAGTCCGGCCTGGGGATCCGACCTGCAAGGCCTCTGAAAAACATACCAAGAATTACAACTTCTGAAAGTAGATTCAAAGGTTTGGATCTTTTGAATATTCATAGGCATTTGACGATAAGTAAGGATGAGATAATTGAAAAATTAGCTCAATCCCAACGAAGATTGGATTTTACATTGTAAATATATAACATACAAAATACAATTATTCTTAAGAAATTTTTGGTGTATTAATTTATATTTCCAACATTTAAATTTTTTATACTTTATAAATTTTAAAGGCTCATAAAATTCAAATTTCTATTTTAAGTCATTTAAGTGATTTTTACATATAATTTTTTTATAATTCACATAAATTTAAAATTGTATATTAAATATAGTTATTAGTCCTAATAAATATTTTTAAAAAACAATAATATTTCTTAAAAATTTTATTATCCACCCCCTACCCCCTTCTTAAACCAAATTCCTCTGTGCGCGCCTGAATCACCGTCCATAACCATCTTTTCAATTCATCGACCATATCAATCATGTACTCAATCATTTTTGAGAATTGAACTCCAATTTAGTATCATCTTGGGCATTCATAATTATGTATCATTTAAACCTCCAATATAGGCTTAATAATTTTTGATTTATTTTACTTTTTGATACTTTTATTTTCAATATCCAGCGTTTAACCCCGTGTATTTTTTACCATATATATCGATATGAAATACATATGTCAATACTTACCCCTGTATCTTGATCCCGGTTATTATATCAATTATGTTTAAAATAGTGAATTTTATTTGTATTTCTTTTGTATATATATATATTTATATAATTATCATATTTAACTTCTAATAGATGCAATTTGATTAACTTCGATAATATAATATTAAATGTAGGAAAGTTATAATATTGTATTACAAATATAATATTCAAATGATAACCTTTTAAAATATATAAGATATTAAGATATAACACCGGCCACAATTCTTTCCTCATTTATCAATGTAATTACCCGCAATTTTATTCATTTATTTAAGGTAGTTTTAATTTACTCTTTAAAAATATATTCATAATTTCCATAAGTTTATTGCAAATTTAGTCTATATTATAACGTACTATATGACATTTTATCCCAAAGTGTATTCATTATTTTAACCCCATATATTAGTTCTACGAATTTCACATTAACACGTTTTTAATATATTACGATGTTTTCAGGTTACAATTCTATTTTTTATAGTACTTCAATAATTTTTGGATAATATAATTTTTATAATACTTTACTTAAAAATTTTAAGCTATTAGTTAAAAATATCAAGAGAATTTTAAGAAATAACTGTTTTATATAACTGGGATCTGTATATTTCCACCTGTGCTATGAAAGGTTAAAAAATATTTATAGCCCACGGGTGAGTGGCAGAAAGTCTGGACATCTATTAGCGAAATCTCAAGGCATATGTTATATTATTTTATAATTAAAATCAGCTAAATCGAGCTTCTTAACGATAAAAAAAATGGTTGAAAAAATCAGATGAAGGCGATTGGCAAAATACTACCAGTTTATTCAGCAAGCAATGAGTAACCTTTTCAACTGCAAGCAAATTTAAATATAATACAATTAAATTTAATTAATGTTCATATTCCCTTTAATATTATATTTATATTTTATACTAAATCAAAAAAATTTAGCACTAACTTTTTGTCCTGATCTGTCCAGGAACCTATATTCAAGTATAAAATTTTTTAAAAAAATTAATTTTAAAAATTTGAAGTTGTAAAATGATAAAAAAATAAATAAAGATCCGGAAAAAAATTCAAAATTTTCACATATGTTCATCTGATCAAAAAAGTTTTAAATTTTTTTGGAGTGTTAAAAAGTGCGATATTGAAATCGGAATATTTATAAATATTTTAGGATAGATAATAAAGATTTCCTAATGATAAAATAATTTTTTTTGTCGAAGTCGAGTCCATTTGGATTCAAAAAATATTTTAAAATCAAGGTTCCTGTCTAAGAAAATGCCTTTCCCACCTGGCCCAAAATGTTAATTTATTTTTAGTCCCGATTTCTCTAATTTTTATTTTAAACTCGCTCCCTGTTCCAAATTTTTAATTAATAAAATATAGACTGCCCATTTTTGATAATATATGTGAAAATAAAATCACTAAACTGACAAATTTCAATTAGTAATTTATTTACCGGCACTGCAAGATAATTAAAATTAGATATTAATTAATATTGAAGTGAACTAATTGTCTCCGACTTGATAACTTGGGTTCACGATCACAATCCGAGTTGGTAGTATAAAGTAAAAAATATTTATATATTAAAAAGAGAACAATTGATAAAAAAATTCTAATTTAATAATTCAAGATTATTTTTTTTCAAATATTGCTTTTGTTACTACTATCAAATAAAATTATATTAAAATTAACATATCAAATATAAAATAAAAGAAAAGATTATTTTATAAAAACGGAGGGGACTTCAAGTTCCCAAAAAAACATGAATAGTTATATTTTAAAATAGTTATTTGCAGATTTTGTTTTAAAAAAGAGCATTCTTTTGGTTCTGATGTAAGGGCTCTTATCTTATCACTTATATTTTTTAAGAATTTTAAAGTTCCGCTTGGCATATGTCCAATGGAAGAGATAACGATCGGTATAAAAATATAATTTGTGAATTTGGAATATTTCATTGTTTTTTTTCTCGGCTATATCAACCGGATTAGAATTTAAATTTTTTATAAAGATACGCATGTGATGTCCCAAATTAAGGATTTCCCTAAAGATCAAGGCACGGAAGTTAAGCCATCTGGCCTTAACCCATCATCTAATGATAAATTTGTAGGCTCCAGGATGTTTGGCATTCGGGCCCTGGTAGGAGAACAGCTATTAGCTAAATTAATTGATTCATGCCTTGCATGCCTGCCTTGACTATATATACAATTTTGACCATGTCTCCCTTTGGAGTCAACTAATATATTTGGTTGAACAATGTTACATCCAAGTCGATGGCCTATGGCAACTCTTAATTGTTCATCTGATAAGAGGTTACCTAGGTTACGACTTGGTAATGCTTCCAACCATTCATAACCACAAGTACAGTCAGCATTCTGTAATAGTTGAATATACTCCAAAGGGGGGGGGGTTTGATGAGATTATTTAATTTTTTTAATTAAAGGTTCAAAAATAGATTGGTGTGTTAAGATTGTGGGTAAAACAGCTTCAGGTGGAGCTAAAGATACCCAAGCTGTCAAGGCTGAATTTAAAAGGTTATCTTTAGGAGAGATAAAAGAAGATATCATGGCGTTATTCATCAAACGCGATGCCAAAAATGAGGAAAGAGATATATGATTTAATGGATATAAATCTAAACCACCCATTTTCGAGGGTAATTGTAAGAACCCCAATTAAAATCTTCCAATTTAATATTTAAAATATTTTCTAAAAAATTCATGAACACGATTAATAATTTCATTATTTAAAAAAAAAGGAAAAAGATCTAAAAATATGTAAAATCTTTGGTAAAAATAAATATTTTTTTAAAAGAAAAAAGCTTTGGTGTGAAGGAATTTCTTTTAAAATATTTTTAAGTCCTAATAAGCCTTCAAAAAATTTTTCCACGAACACCTCACAATTGGAAAAACTGCTTAAATGTGAACCTAGAAGATTAATTTCACTTTTTTTAATGATTTTAAATTCTTGGACTTCGAGAGTATTTGAATTAAAAGGCATATTTCAGATTTAGCTTTATTTAGAGTAAGGCCTATGTTTGAATTCTTCTCTATATATTCTATTGCTGCAAGAATATTTTTAGAAGGTCCGCAAATGGTACCATCATCTAGATACTATATATTTAAATTTAAATTAAAAAGGATTTTAGAATGAACTAGGTTATTATTTCGATATTGATATTAATATTGAAATACTCTTTCTGTTCATAAATCATGGTCTGAACTATTACTATCATCAAAAAATATTAATGAGAAAAAATATACAATAAAATATTATATTTAATTGATTTTGGGTCGATAGATTTGGTCCACCAGATCAACCCATTTTTTGGTGTTCATTTTTTCGACCAAAATGTAAATCAACCATTTAACAACACCAATTCTGAATTATAATCACTGATATCTAGAGCTACTTTATGTTAAAGAATAAATAGATTTCTAAAAAATTTGACTTATGTTATGATTTAAATGGATAGCATATAATTAAAAATAACTACAAGGATCTCGAACTAAACCATGAAGCCGAAATTACCGGTATTTCGAGCCTGTTCATAACAGTTATTTAAATTATTTCTTTTAAATGATTATACAATTATTTTTTAAATAGTAAAATTTTTGTGTGTGTATGTTTTTACTTAATTTGTTAACTATATTTTAAATTGTTAAAATATGAATCTGAATGGAACTGAACCATTATGTTTAACGGTTCGACGCCCTGCAATAAGCAGAAAGATTTCAAAATTTTGAATGAAGCCTTATATAGTGAAAGTTGAAATATTTTTTTCTATATAAGTACAATATATGTTGTTTTATAAGATTACACGATAATAAAGTTTGCGCATTAGGACTTTGCACCCTTATAAACTTACCAGCCGAAAGTAGACAACATATAACTTCTATTCAAAAACACTCCCCTAAATTTATATCTTCACTTATCAAAATATTGGAGGATATCAAGAAAATCAACAATGGTAAATAAATCATATAACATTTTTCATAAATGATAATGCATTGCAATAAAAAAACTGTTTTTTATAATAACGCCCATTTTCTTTGATCTTATATTGATAAGTATTCCTAGAGATACATATTCTTATATCAAATTTCCTATGACACAAATTTTTGGTACATAATGTCTAACTTATCGGCTCCCTCCTATTTTATTTTGGGAAATTTCTCCTGATCAGATTACTCGGAAAAAATTTATATAGATATGTTCCACTAAATATATTTATTTATTCTTATAGTATTCTATATTATGTACATTAATTTAATGAATAAAATGTATAATTTAGCACGGATACAGAATAGCGAATCTTCATGGGAAGACGCAGATGAAACAAATAATGCAGATAGTTCTGATGACGATGATATAGACGCTATCAAAAGTTTTTGTTTATATAAATTTCTTTAATATTGATAAATATTTATTTATATATTGATATCTTGGTAAGATGGGAAAAATAACTCAATTGGATGGGGCATAACACAACTCCCCACCCCCCTTTTAAAACTGTTATATATGTCATCATATCACGCGCATTTATTTCCAATATAAATTTCTATGAAAATTATAAATGTTATTATTAGATAAGAAACGTAATTTGAACTCGATAGCTTACCCGAGATATTAAAAGCTAAGTATGCAAGAAACGCAATTCTACCCTTTTCGGATATATTTATAAAAATAGAAAAAGTTTGTAGTTATTAAAAACTAATTGAATTTGAATATTTAAGGGATATAACACTAGTAAAAGGTTGATAAGGTAACAATGTAATCTTATGTCTAGTATAGAAATTATTAAATTCTTACAAAGACTAGTAGAGGTTCGCACGGCCCTTAGAAATTTTCTATATTTTCGGCCGGATACATATTAATTTTTTTATGAAGAAAGACGACATAAATTTGCCTAATTATCAGCTTTAAATACATTTTCAATATTTAGTCCTTATTCGTAAAAATTTTTTGACCAATTTGTCTGACCAGGCTACACTGACATCTAATGACTATAGGACTTACAATTTATGCAATTTTTTTCCCGTTTTTTTTAAAGATCTACACTTTTTATTATTCTATTAAAATATATAAAATAAACTACATATCAAATAACAAATAAAATTTAAAAAAAGCATAAATAAAAAATTAACTATTAAAAACATAATTGAGTCCCTAAAAAAGAGCAGTAATTATATTTAAAAGTTCTATTTGTATTTTTCGTCTTAAAAAAAAGGAATTCTTTGGTATCCAATGTTTGGGCTTAAATTTTATTAGACAAACTTTTCAAAAAAAAAGAAAGTATCAGGGCACTCAGGATGTAGCAATTGGGTTAAAATTGAAATTTTATATTTATTTTTTTGGTTTCTGATTGAGTGTTACACATTCATGGGAAAAGTGGTAACTTAAGTATACTCCAATATGAGAGATTTACCCATAGCCCATGGGCTAGTTGTGGGTTCAACATCTGATTAAAAGTTACGAGGTTCTAAGATATTAGGATTCGAGCATTATATTCGGGATAGGCTGAGGAGTTTATTTATTGATGAATGACGCTTCTGACAACTCTGGCTTTTAATATAATTTAACCCATGTCTGTCCATAGAATTGACTGTTAAGTTACAATTCATGCAACTATGAGGTTGGCTATGTCACTTCCTAATCTATGACCTGGATTATCACTTAATGATCATAATAATGATGATTAAAACTTCTTTCAACGAATATAATCTCCGAACCAAGTCCAAGATTTTCACACTAAGTGAAGAAAGTATAAAACATATATCTGTGAAATTGATAATGAATCGCGATATGTAAAAAAAATATTAAAACTTTTTGTTGCCATAGTATTTATTTCTTTTACATAAAGTAAATAAAATACATGGCCAAAGACAGGTTTATTTATTTATATATATATAATATATGGTAAATTCATGACAAATCAACATGAGTTTCAACCCGACTCCCTCAGATTTTTCTAAAATTTTAACTATAGTTTGCCAATATTATAACTAAGAAAAAATAAAAATTTAGCCTTCAACTCAAAACAGCGTCTGATATATGGGCTTCTAAAGGTCGAAAAAATGGGGCATTTAGGGAAAAAATGCTTTTCCTTCAATTTTAAATATCTTTGGATATAATTTAGCTAGAAGCGTCATTTAATTTTTTTTATATAGCCTAATGGTAAGCCTTTAAAGTTATATAATATTAAATATGGTAAAAATGTTTAAATGTCAAAAACCGGAAATAGTCATAAAATCAAATCGGCATTTTCCGGACTTTTTTAAATATATTATTTTTAATTTTATAGATAAAAATGGCGATTTAAAATATCCCTACCCTGGATGTTTTAAAAAAAATTAAATTACGGCAAGTCCCTTGTACCCAGGTTGGTGGGTATTGTAAAATCAATACGGTATTTCTACAATATTGCAAAATCAATACCTTATTAATAATTTATGATCGAACCTCAACTTTTATGAATAAAATCTAAAATATAATTTACAAATCTTTGAATCAATATTTATAGTTAAATCGACAATTATAAATTAGCACATCACAAAATATTATATAGGATATCAAGAATTGTAAAATAAATAAATTCTTTGAAAAAATTATATAAAAGAATAGAAAATCATTTTTATAATCATTTAAATATATTTAAAAACTATTAAATCTATTTTAAATAAATTTTTTAGAAACGATGAAAAAATATATAATAATAAATATTTTACAATTTTAATGGCCGCCAATATATTTGAAGCTATATCTCTTAAAAGTCAATATGGTTATTGATTCTACAATACCAAAATATCACTACGGTATTGAATATACAATGATAATATTGTGATAATTCTCAACGCTTATAATAAAAAAAAAATCAACACTCAGTATCTTTTTATATTTTTCAACACAATAAACGATCAACACTTATATCTTTATATCTATCTTTCAATACAATTTCCTTATTCAAAATATCTTACTTTAATCCTTTTTTTTTAAACGGATATTTCTCACTTTTTAAAATTTCTAGAATACTATTTTTTTTTGTGTTTCTACAAATTCCCTTTTTTTTTGAATTCCAATTTTTTATTAATTTTTATTTTTTTTCAAAAATTTAATCAAAAAAATATAATGAATTAAAAACAAAAATTTTCTTTTTTCAACAACTTTTTTTTAAAAAATAATAATAATATAATAATTTTTAATATTATTTTTTTTAAAATAAAAATCAATAATACGTAATTACGAATAGTAATAATAATATTATATATTTAAGATTAAAAAAAAATCGATAATGCGTAATCAAAAAAAAATTGACAAAATCAATTAAATTTAAAATATCATCAATTATAACACGCTCGATAATGCGTAATCAAAAAAAAAATTGACAAAATCAATTAAATTTAAAATATCATCAATTATAATACGCCGCCGCCAACAGAAGACCATTCCTTCATTCCCCCCTCAGGAAAGCGTCCAATTCCAAATCCGTCATTTCTTTAATCTACTATTTCTGGTGCTTCCACTGGTCCATTGCTTGTAGTATCCAATGCTTCCGCTACCGTAGGCGCCACCCTCGACACAGGTACCTCCTGTATCACTGGTCCCGTCTGGATATCTCGGGTTGGCTGTCTTTCTAGTTGTCGCCTTGGTCTCCGCGGACACCGATCTTGTAGGTGGTCTCGGGATTGGCAGAGATAACAAGTCCGTGGAGGATTTCGTCCTCTTCGTATCGGGCTGGATTGAACTGCCGGCGTATGGAATTCGGATAAACGCTCCTCAGTATTTTGCGTATATACGCTTATTCTTATGATCATCCTTTTAGTCAGGCTTGCAGCTCTTTGTCCTTAGATATTACAAATTCACAAAGATAGAACTCTTGTTTCACCCCCTCTTTTTATATATTACAACTCTTTATTTCTGATATTTCACTTGGTCAATCAGGTTTTGCATCTCTTTGTCCTTATATATTACAAATTCACAAAGATATAACTCTTGGTTTCACCCCTTCTCTTTTATATATTAAAACTCTTTATTCCTGATATTTCACTTCTCTCTCAACACTTCACCTCCCGATCTCAACCGCCTCGGTTCAACTCCCCTCCGTATTTGATCGGAATGTCTTATACCATCTCTTCCATCCCTAAACTTGACTTTATATAATCTGCTCCCCAATTTCTCCATTATTATTCCCAACTCCCATTTCCTTGAACCTCCATAATTTCTGATCCACACATTTTGACCTATCACAAATTCGCAGGTCTTATTCACCACTTGCTCATCATTAACCTTTGTCATTTGCAACTCATCCGGCGCGGGCTTCAATAAATCCAATAGCATACGAGTCCGACGCCCCAAAAATTTCTCCACTGGAGATTTTTCCTCCTCTTTTTTGCTATTATTGTAATACGCTACCGCTATCCAAATCTCGCCCCCTCCATATTTAAATTTTCTTAACCAACTCTTTACTACCGCCACCATTCGTTCCGCCTGACCATTGGAACTCGGATGGTAAGGTGGAGCTAATATATGTTTTGCACCCGTTTTAGCACAAAAGGTTTTAAAATTCCTACTTACAAACGCTGGCCCTCCATCCGAAACAATTATTTTTGCAACCCCAAACCTGGCCCACAGATTTTTTAATGTTTTTATCACCACTTGCGTCGTTAAACCTCTCACCTCCTCATATTCTACCCACTTTGAATAAGCATCCACCACAAGTATATAGATCTTGTTCTCAAAATCAAAAAAGTCGATGTGAACCCTGTCCCACGCCTGAGTAGCTTTCGGCCAAACACTTTCTTTATCTCTACGAGGCATTCTGTCCCAAGAGTTACACATCACGCAACCCCGGCTTATATTTATAATCTCCTCATTCATTCCGGGCCACCACACATATTCTCTTCCCCATTGTTTCATTCGTTCAACCCCTTAATGCCCAGCATGAATCATGTTCAACACGGCTTCCCTTAATTTCCTCGGAACTACTCTACGATTTCCTCGCACCACACATTCATCCACTATTGTCAACTCTTTTTCTACATTTTTGAACCTCTTGTCCTCAATTCCATGGTTTTCTACCCGCTATACACGCCTTAATTCGCGTCAACTCTCGATCCTTCAATGTAGCACTTTTCAGCCCTTCCCATGTTACGGGTCCTCCTCTAGATATTGCCGCTACCGTTCGAATCATCCCTTGCTCATTCTCTTCCTCATCCCCTTTTTTTTCATCACAAATTTCTCCTGCTCCACATCTGGATAAAATATCCGGTAAATAATTCTCTCTCCCACGCCGATATTTGACTTGAACGTCAAAACTACCCACCAATAATACCATCTCTGTAATCTTGGCGATAACATCAACTCTTTATTATCCTTCTTAAAAAGATG